CTCAAAGTTTCCAAATCTCCCAACTGATTTTGAGAAGATCTGATGGGAAGTCAGCCCTGGCTCCTGCCTGGGAAAGAATTCCTTGGGCAAATTGTATCCTTTTGCCTGGGGCAGTCTCCCTTCTCTCGCAACAGCCGCAAAATGGATTCTGGGGCGCCGTATTTCGGGGACAAGATTTTGGATACGAGCTGCCCTTGAAGGGCCTGCCCACACATGCCGTCGAGGGCCATTCGGTGTCCCGAGAGCCGGCGTGGGCGGCAGGGCACAGGTCTGGGGTCTGGCCTCCACTTGGCCATGAAGCCCACTGGGTGACTTTGGGCCAACCAGCGAGTCTCAGCCCAACCCACCTCACAGGGTCGTTGTTAGGATAACATGCCGGGTTTTCTTTCCCTGGTATGGAAAGGAGACCGAAAACCAAGTTCCAGTGATCCCAGCAAAGCAGAGGCCACGGTGGAAACAGGAGGCCATCGGCTGCATTTGATTTGGGTCCTGAGTTCCCCTGTCCTCTTGGGAAGGATCACCAAATTGCTGGCCATTCTGGCAAAGCCACGGCTGCATTTTGGCCATTAGATGGCGCACACAAAACATTCAGAGCCTTAAAAACCAGCCTGAACCTTAAAAACTAGGGCTGGACTTAATTCCAGGGATGTTGGTTAAATTGGGGAAAATTGCATCCGGCTTTACAAGTCCCCTCTCCACTTGAAACTCCATCCATACCTTCTGTTTGCCCTCCACAAAGATAAGCTGGAGCTTTGTTGCAATGTGTTGTTTCTCGAACAAGCCGGTTTCATCTTGGACCCTAAAGCGAGCCTTCCCAGTGCGTCCCACTGCTTCCCCCCCACCCCGCGATATCCAGCAACGGAGAAAAGACCGCGTGAGGCACGGTAAAAGAAAGGTTAACAGAACGGCGCGCTCTTCTCGATGGCGCCAGCCACTCGTCCATTTGCATGGTCACGTGAGCGCATTAGAGATGGCCGCCGCGGAAAGCGTTCCAGTGAACGGCGTGCGAGCCATTCCAAGCACTGCAGAAATGCCATTTCATCCATTAACCCCTCGGTGTGGAATCTGGGATGCATTCTGAACGGGCTTGCGCAGCAGGCTGCCACACCGGATGCAGCACGCGCTGGCTCTTACGGTGCCCCATCAAAGCTTTCGTGAACTTCCTAGGGGTTCGGTTTCGCTTTGCTTTGCCTGCCTAGAAGAAACTCTGTGTGTGTGTGTGTGTGTGTGTGTGTGTGTGAGAGAGAGAGAGGGGGGGGGGACCATCCTCAAATTCCACACTGGGCTTCATTAGAAGAGGGATCGCAAAGTCACACTGTGACTGCCGCAACACCCTTACACAAACACGCTGGGGGAAGGTTTGCGACCAGGCCAGGTCCAGACATGCGCACTCCTGCCTTCACGCGTCTTGTGCACTCTTGGCTAGCCTCACCTTCTTTCTTGATCAGGAAAGCCAAGCTGGACCCGAGCCAGCTTGTGGGGGGGGGGGGGGGAGAGGGGAAAGGAGTCATGCCACCGTTTATGATCTGTTCATTCCCAAGATTTATAATGCACTCCAAGCATCTCCGAACATGCCAGGTCAATAGCATGTTAGCAAGAATGTCATCGCTCAGCAATACCCAGCCTCCCCTCCGATCAAAACGACTCCGGCGCAAGCCCATCCATCAGCCGGCTTCGGAGGAATCCGCCGGGGACCCACGCCTGTGCGAGAAAACAAGCACCCACCATTTGCCTTCCCATGCGGCCTTGTTTACTTCATTTGCTTCACCTTGACATTTGGCTAGCAGCAGGAGACCATTATCCTGTGACAGTTTCACACTGTCGGCATTATTTCTACCTTATGAGGGATGCCACGTGGCGGATCAGGGCAGGAAGGGAAGGGAACAGCGGCACCTGAAGCACCTCTGCTTTTCGGAGGGCTGGAATATCGGGGAACGGATACACAAGGGGAAGGTTTCTGCTATTCTGTCCAGGCACAAGCAGCCTCCATAACTCTAGAAAACACCAAGGACGTTGACTCAGCAACCACCAGGCATAAAATGGCAGCAGAGGGGTTAAAGCACACTTGGCTGGCCTGTATCTAGATATAAATCTGAATCTGACTTACTACAGATAACCTGCTTCATATGGGTTGGGGGAACCATTTTTTGATTGGAATTCTTCAACCATTAGGATTCAGGCATCCTTACCAAGCTACGTATCCTGATCTTTCCTCCACCCTTCTAAATCGACAGAGATCTATTTCTTCATCACCCTCCTGCAGGACAAAATTATTTCCAGGACCAAACTGGCAAGCTTTGAACCTTTCCTTGCAGTTTTCATTGCTGGAATTAAGAAGCACAAAATAACTCCATCACAGAACTGAAATAGGAAAGCACCAAAAGATTTGGGGCAGCAAAGGAGGACGGAAGGAAGGAAAGAACCTTTGGAAGGTGTTTGTATATTCTTTTGCCAGTGCTACGGCATGCTCCGATGGTTGGCAGGCATGACAAAGTATGTTCAGCTAGCCGTGTTTTTCAAGGGTTGCTTAACACATGACTCAAGAAAACCAAGCGCATGTGGGCGGCATGAAATGCCAAGTCCAAGCAGCCAGACCTCATGGAACCCTTTTGCTTTTCATGCCAAATATTTTAAGGTTAGGAGCCAGAAAAAGGGCACAGGCTAACCTGTCTTCATGCCAAATTAGGGATGGGACTGGAGAGACAGGTCAGGAGGAACAAAACAAAGAAGATATATATGTTTCTCTTATTTCACTCAGGATTTAAGAGTAGTCATCGAGTTCCATGAGCCCCAAAACAAGCCGTGTCCCCACTTCTGCAACAGTAGCTGAGGAGGGACAGGAGAAGCTGCTGCATTCCCCTTTGGCTATGGAGAGCCTTTTGGAGAGAGGCTGTATGGTACAGTGGTTAGAGCAGGTGTGGGCGAAGCATGAGATCTCAGCTTCAACTGCTGTACATACTTGTTGGATAAAATCGCCCGGGAGCAGGGTGGGGGAGGAGACCCACCCTGTATGGCCTAGAGCAGCTTGAGGCAAGGCAGGGAACTTTCAAGGCAGGGAAGCCGGAGAAATGGCTCCCAGGAGGAGGGGGAGCAGGGGGAATGCGCCCACCAGCCCAGTGCCTTTAAGTGGGGGGTGGGCAGCGTGACCCTCCGGATGCTGCCCTGCTCTTTCCATCACCTGTGTAGGCAGGGAGAAGGCACTGCTTGGATCCCCCCCAAAAGAGATGCTGCACCGCGCGTTTGGGAGCCCCCCCGGGGAGAACCCGGCCGTTCAAAGGCACGGACACTGGGGGCACCTTGGCGCCCACGTTCACTCCATGCAGGGGAACTCGGCTGTCTAAAATACCCCTTCTGTCTCCCCTGCTTTGAATGCGAACTCAGCAGCTCCCACCGTGGAGCGAGAGCTCCACCTAGTGGCCAGACGCTGCCTAGTCAATGGGTGTTCCCAGCTGCTGGAGAGTTTTAAGGGGACTCCACTGCAGAGGGAGGGAGGGCATGCCCCCCAACAGGCTGTGGGAGTGGGGGTGGTAAATCGGACTCCTGGTTATTGTGTAGCTCTGGTGCAGAAGGACTGTGAGCTGTGCTCAAAAAACATTCGTATTCTTGGCAATCTTTGATTCTAAAAGGGTTAGAAAGCTCAGGTTAGAAACGTAGAAACAGCAAGTCAGAAGGGGCCTCCCGGGCCATCTAGTCTGACCCCAGGCTCCAGCGAGCTCTGCTCATGATATGCCTATCATGTGCATGGCCAGCCTATCCTTGAACACCCTCACTGCTGGGGCCTCAACCTCCTCCCCTGGAAGCCCATTCCATAACCTGGGGGTCCTAACCGTCAGGAAACACTTCCTGGCATCCACCCTAAATCCTGGTGCCCTGGTTGGAGGGTTCTTGATGGGAGGTTGAATAAAAATGGCAGCAGTGGGTCCTGCAAGCCAGCCCCCTCTCTGACCCACCACATGGGGTAATTGTGAGGATAAAGAAGGTGGGAGGCGACCAGGTGTGCTCCCTTGACCGCTCCAGACCATGCATATAATAAATCCATTGCTTTGGCTGATGTGGAGCTGCGAGCCCATTCTGGAATCCCGTGTTCAAAATCCCAAAATCACCTCTGCCGCTTGAAGCAGGAGGATCTCTGGGCTGCAGCTTCCACTTAAACCCACCTTATGGGAGGTTGTCAGGATTATAGCTCTCCATATAATTGCCAATCATTTCATTCTCTTTTAGCTTTTTTACATGAAAAACTAACACACATAAGCATTGTTTTCAGGCATGCTAAACCAGGAATTCTGATACAAGTGATCTATTGGCCACTCCCTCCATGACAGCGAGGAAACGTCCTAGGAAAGGGTAGCTTTGGGTTCATGTCTGAACTTGGAATTAAGCTAAAGTAGGCTTAAAGCAGCCAGGATTGGAAGCCAGGGTTTTAAGTTGCCTTACCCATCCTGGCTTGTTTCTTCCCAGGTTTGAAAGTAATGTGAAGTTATCCTTTCCTGGATCATTTACGACGGGAGAAGCAGAATTGGAGCGAATGGACCACCTGCATCCATGAGAGGCTAGTTCCCATCACAGTTTGTTAAGTCAGGATTCCTGGTTTACTGTGATGCCAGAAAGTATCCACCAACATCAGACAAAACTCTGCACCGCATCATCATTATCTCAACAGAGAGCGTGGTCCAGTATTCACCGCGTTTGACTCATGAAATCCTGCTTCAAGTCCCAGCTTGACCATAAAACACACTCGGTGATTCAGGGCTAGTCACCAACTCTCAGTCTGACCTACCTTGCAAAGCTGTTGTACGGATAAAATGAAAGAAGGGTTACCAAATAAGCATCTTTCGTCTTCTTGCAAGAGGAGGAAGGGTAGAGTATAAATATAGTGATAAATAATAGCAACAAATACATATTTACAAAATCTTTCCGCACCGCACCCTTCTGATAGCCCAGCAGCAAAATGCTTCTCTGCTTCTTTCCCATGCAACTCTGCATTGACACACAAGAACTCATTTCAAAAGACTAAGTGTTTTAATTTTTCTCTTGGGCAAACACTGCTAGAGTTTTTCATGGTACAATTCAGAAGTGGAAGAACAGACAGGATAGTATTTTGGCAATAGTTTTTAAGAACCCCCCTTTCTGAAAGCAGCGCAAGAATAAAGTGCAAAACCCACGAAGAACCTGAAATGTAGATTGCTGCTTGCAGGTTTCAATTTGGAGATAACCTTAGTGGAGAAAAACCGGGCTATTTTGGTCCCAACTCTGAAAGACCCTCAAGAGAACTGCACAAAACACCTTCTACCTCCTTCTCTCCATTTTGTACCCCAAAACTTAGCACCTGATATCACTAGAACCTGCAACAAGATAGATCTGGAAAGAGCCAAGTGCTTTTCCGTCCTAGGCAAACTATTAAAAATGCACGCGCAAGCATCTTGTTCCCAGGCAGTTTTCAAAAACCATAGGAAATGACAGCAATTTATGCATTCTGAGGAGTACAAAAGTGTTCTAAAGAATGACAGCTAAGAACTGGATTAAAAGGGAGCCCAAAGGAGAGACTCTCATCTACCTAATGTGCTTCCACGGATGAAGTCTGCTTTCCTGCTCTTCCCGGTGCTCCCTCCCATTTTCGGCTGCTCTGCCGCATGCGGCTTCCGAGGTGTGCAGACCTTCGGGAGCAACTTTGGGTGGGCGCTACGGGAAGGGGAGAAGACCCAGTGCATGTAGGAAAGTCTCGTAAAAAGGAAAAAAAAGAGAGCAGAGCAGCTCACCCAAAACCTAAAGCAGTTTGGAACCACACCAGCGCTGGTGCAGCGCTGGCAGAACAACTTCTGGCAGGATCACTCGCCCATCCCACCGAAGACTAGCCAGAACCTATTTCGAAATGTACCTTTAGACTTTACAATGTGAAAGGGCGAGTGCTTTGGGGGAAGAGGCGAAACGCTGCCAATGCAAGAAATAACAGAGGCGGAGACGCCCCATGGTCTTCGGGGCTCGAGGGTTTCTTCGTTCCTTTGCAAAGGAAGCTCTTCGACAACTTGCCATGGGCTCGAGGCGTGTGGCAGAGGCCTTGCGCTCCCCTTCAGCACAGCCACTGTGAGCCAGGGGGGATTCACCGATTCTCTCGCAACCACCCCTCCCCTTAAAGCTCATTGGGATCCTCCACGAGGAGGAACGGGGATTTGTCAGGTGGCAGACGTGTCATCATAGCGAACTGTCCCAGAGTCTGCTTGCAAAAGCGGAGAAGTGTCTGAAGCACCATCCTGGAGGTCTGGCGTTTGTGGGCTGGCCGCTCGAGCATCCCTCTGAAAGAAGCCGGAGAAGCCTCGTTAGAACCCGCACGTGTGAGTGCTGAGCTGACTCAGGCTGTGAGGATGCCAAGTCCTCTTCTAGCCCTTGCACCATGCCCAGTTTTGACATTTCGTCAGAATGGGACTCGGTAGGACCTGGGTGTTCATGCTTGCGCCCCCTCTCCCACCTCCATCTCCAAAGGCTCACTCAGACCAGGCAATTTCATAAACCGTGGTTTGCACTTGGTTTGTTTCACTAAACTGGGGGTGGGAAAGAGTTCTTTCAGCCTGAGGGCCAAATTCAACTGGGGAAAAGCTTGTGGAGCCACATTCGAGTGATGCGCAGGACTGAAGGCAAAGGGAAATCTGCACATCGGAGCTTCCATCTCTTGCTGCCAATCATTATGCTTTAAAAGCAGCACGTCCATCTTCTAGAATGGGTGGAAAGTCTCAGGAAGGCTGGGAAAGACCAAGCAGGTGGGCTTGGGTGCAGTGGGAGGCCCACAGCCATCTAGGAGGCCCAGGACTGCTGGGTTTGGTCCCAAGGCCAGGCATTCCCAACTCTATGATGAACCACGGAGAGTGACGATGGCTGATCTCCAGCTCGTAAGGAGAGAGACAAAGCTACCCAGAAGCAACACCCTTGTTTTGCCCTTCCAAGGTGCCCCGAGTTTGCCAGAGAACGGGAGGTGCCATCTTCCCCCACATGAGGGCGCCCTTGAACAAGGTATCATTGCCGGAAACACTGAGGTCTTCATCCAGTTGTGTAAGAAGCTGGTTCCCATTTGTATAAGAACAGGCAAGCTAAGTGAACGTCTAAAAGCAACCATTTGGTCAACTTTAAAAATGGCTTTGTTACCCTCTTTTCCACCGGATGATGCTAGAATTCTGGATTAGTCAAAGAAGCAGACGGGCCGCAGACAGACACAAGCCGATAATGTGTAGGATGCATACATTGTGCAAGGAAGGAAGTCCCACGAGTTAAAGGATACTCAAGCTGAGGGTGCCGGCCCAGAGATGCTTAGATAGAAGGGGGCCCAGGAATCCCCCTCCAAGCGACTCCCCGTGTTGGCCGGGACAGCCTGGGAGCCGCAGGACCCGTTTCTGTCTGAACGGGCACAGGATCGCGCCTTCCCATGGCATTAAAAGCAAATCAGCTTCATGTACAGGAAGGCTACGCAGCCAAGAGTTGCGTGCAGGCACCTGAGGCGGCAGCCCTCGTCTTAGTTACCACCTGGTTGGGGACTCCGGAAACCGCACCAGAGCTTTGGTCCCCTCTGGAAAGCAAGGACCGCACAGGCTTCCAGCAAAGCAATCATCCCTAAAGCGTCCGAACTTCAGTGGACTGCATTTCTTTTAGGAGAAGAGGTGCAACAGCAGCGAGAGGGAAGGGAGCTCAGGCAAAGGGGCCGGTAACATGGACAGAGAGCATTATATAGAGGCGCGGCTGGGCCCTCATGCCCCCCACCCCGCTTTTAAACCCCAAGCCATTCAAACGAAGGTTTAAAACCTGGGCGGTTTTAAACGAAGTGAAGCTCGGTCGGCTTTGTGAGGTTACCTGTTCTTTTCCACGTACCCACCTAGAATCTCGCTTCCTTCTCCAAGGTGCTGGAATTGTCCTTGGAGGCTTGGCTGGCCTCTTTAGCTCCTGACCCTTTATTACTACTCCAAAATAAAAAGCACTTTCCCTAGAAAATAATCAGTCTCATTTAAACAGCTTATGCCATATTTTTCGGACAGTTCATTTATTTCTTTCAAGGTAAATTTAAGTTTTTTTAAAAAAAATGAATGAGGGATGATTTTTGGAAGTTTAATTGTCGTTAAAAGAGGTATTATCGTAATCACGAGAGCTAATTTACACAACCTATTTATTAGAGCATTGTGTTCTATAGGCAAGATGATCTTAGCTCTATTAGGAGAGATAAATTTACTTAGAAGAAGTGTAGGAATCAGTTGTCAAGCCAGATTCGAAAGGGTTTGTTCACATCTGTGTTTTTTCTTTTCTTTTTTTTTTTAAGCAAGGTTTCTGGGACTCAAAGTCCTTGTATTCCCTGTAAGTCCCTGGGGAATGCAAGGCAAGAGTTACACACGGGCATGCTTTTATCTTGAATTCACAAAGTACTGTACGAACTGTTCCTCCCTTGGATTAATTTGTAAGGGAGCTTGCTGCTTTAACCTGCAAGCCCAAGGGCAGGTGGTTAGTGGCGGGGGGGGGGGGGGGGGGGAGAAAGAGAGAGAGATCTTGGCCATAACTCATGGCCTGCACAGGCATTTGCCGCCCTTTGGATCCAGGCAAAGGGGCTGCGGCTCGAACGGCTCGGCCCTCGGAGCTTTGCGTGGTGGCCTAGGGAGGCAAGAAGCAGCGAGAACGCTGCCCTTGTATGCCCGGCTTCCTCCAGGTTAGAGTGACCCCTCTAGGGGTCTCTTACCTTTGGGCCCTGATAACTGTAGACAGTGCCGGATCCGGGATTATAAAACTTTGAGGCAGATAGGGTCTGAGTCACAGCGGACCCCTTCCTCTGCCGTGCAAGAGTCAAGTTCTGTTGAGAAAACGAAGATTTCATGCGAACGCCATTCTAAGCTGGCTTGAGCAACATTAGAGGTTCATTATACCAAGGTTTAAAATTTATATAAATACGCATTTAACAATCTGGCCTAGGAGTGTTGGCAAGCTGCAACATTCATTTGCAAGGAAAGATTTACTGCTATTGCTATTATCGTCGTCATCTTCACTACAGAGCAGGTTTTAACAAGCAGGAGGCATCGTTCATGTAACTCGGATGCCCAGTTGGAAGGGAAAGAGAGCTTCAGCTTCATGCAAACACTGAGGGACTATTACTGACTACGAACTTCCTCAGAAGTCGAGAGAATGTCCCACTGTTGGCACTATACTGCTGGTCAACAGCCTTTCCTGAACGAACGGCCGGGTTACTCGTGGGCAAGGTGTTAAGTCCAGGCCCATCAGCCTGGGCACAGAATGATTCTTCAAGGCTATGAAAGGGCAGGGCAGGGAAGAGGGTACGAGTTAGTGGGGCCGAGGCATCTTTCCTCCAGCCTCTCTGCTGCTGCCTTGATCCAGAGCGGTCCCTGGCACGGTTTTTACTTTCTAAGGCGCTATTATGCGAACAGAATCTGATCTGAGCTACTCCGCACTTCTGTGCCTGCCTGCAGCTGGAAATCCCTACAGGGTATGAACAGACCAGAGTGTGTCGCATTTCTCTTACTCTCAGATGTGCGAACGAGGGCAAGCTGCAAAGAAGGCCAGATAGCAGAAAACACAAAGGTTTCAGGAGTTTGTGCCATGAAGAAGTATTTGCACGGCAACCTTGATCAACTTCTTGGCCTGTAGCCACGGGGAAATGAAATGGGTGGTTCTGTGCCCCCAGGAAGAATAAATACACACAACGAGGCTTTAAGCTGGGCTTGGGTTGCAGGGACACTTGGTGTAAAGTGCTTAGAAAAGCATCCTAGGAATTTTGCTCCTATTGTCTCCTCATACAAGTGCAGGAAAACCCAAAGCCGGAAAGCCTGGTGTCTTCGTCCCCAACCCCAGCGATCTCCACTCTTGTAACTGGCTAGCTTAGGAACAGCGATGTAACTTGGAGAACTGGGGCCAAGATGGCCGTTTCCCCCTTTTGTCATCTCTGCCGGAATGGACTGTCGCATTTTCATCTGGATGCCTTTCCCCAGACATTCTGGTGCAGCTGGCCAGCCGCTTCTGAGAATCCCTCGAGTAGGATGGGAATGCGGATCAGCCATTTTGGTGACGATTCAGGAAGAAGCACGTGGTCACCTGGACTAGCAGCAAGTATCTGCCGGTATCGATCCAATCCCCTTTTCAATCCATCCAGATGGGCGACCGTCACTCCAACCGGAGAATTCCACCGCAAATTCCAGAGTTTCTCTCACTTAACACAGTTCCGACTAACTTAAGTTCCACTGATTTGGATGGGTCTACTCTAAGAGTAACTACACTTGGATTCAACCCTTTGTCAATGTTGTGGGCTCAACAGTTTGGATTGTTGGCATAACTGCAGTGGTAGGAACAATGTTCTAGTCTGGTTTTGTATAAGCTAAAAGCTACATTAAAAATGGGATATATTTTTGAAAGTACAGAACCGTTCTTGGAAGAACACATTCCTTGAGAGCCTGTCCAATTTCCATCCTGAAAATGCCTCAACAATAAGTTTAATAAATCAATAACTAACTAACTATGAGAAATAAATAAATAAAACTCTTCCCAGGGCAGGCACGTCCGCAGAGCACATGAAGAGCGGACAAAAACCGGAGCACTTCATCAAACAAAGACAGGACCTCCTCTTTCGGCAGGTACAGGAATCTGTCCGGGGCTTTGAACACAGGCAACAGGCTCTCACAAAGCACAAGAGAACCCGTGGTCTGGAAACTGGCAGAACATGGAACATTTTCTCTCCAGACCTCGAGCTGAAGAGAACGTGCAAATAATCAACACGCCTGAGAGGACACTTTTCAAGTGGGGCTGGTTCAGCTTTTTCTGCAAGAGTCTGACTTTGTTCATTTCCTTCCCAGCAGGAAACGCCAGCATTGCCCCCACAACTCATGCAGGCCCATTCCAACCGACCTGAGCTCAGGTATCTGCAGACCTTCTTGACCTTAAACAAAGGAGCATGTAAGAGGGCCCCATTGGCCCATAGTCACCTCCTCTGCCAGCCAGCAACTGCTCAGAGTCTCAGGCATGAGACCAAACTTGGTTTGGTTAACCCAGGAAATGCCGGCGGGGGCACAGGGATGAGTGACCACCCCCTCCCATCCACTTGCTGCATCTGCTTTCAGTGAACAACTCAGGAACACCCTGTTCCTGGGCTGTTTTCCTGACATGCAGACCCTGAAATGCTGGGTTATTTAGGGGCTAATCAACCCAGCATTAACCCAGCAACCAACCAGTCTTGGTTTCAAGGCCCCCAGGGCTTCCAGCTGATCCCTACACTGCACCCCACAGAAGCAGAGAGGATACGACAGAGACAGCGAGAGCTTTTGGAAAAGCAAGATGGAAGGTGTGTGTCAGCTTCCTTCTCCCAGCTTCTGGCTGCTCATTCAAAGGGAAAACACTTCCGCAAGAGAGTCCATCCTCAGACTGCTAGGCCCCAAAGTACTCTGCGCTGGACGGGTCACGTGGAATCCCCCAAATCCCGCGTGAGTGTTCCGGATGTTCTGTACCTTTCGGGAAGCCCCTAGTTTGCACAAGGCCTGCAGCAGCAGTTCCCCGACCTTGTACCGAAAACATGCACATGTTTGCTTAGCTTCTCTCATAACAACACTAGCAAGAAACTACACAGAGCTGTCTCCATGCCGCCGGCCCACATTCAGGACTCCTGATTTTCCTCAGAACACTTTTTAAGTGCCTCGTGTCCAACTCAAGGCGATTCTTGAGAAAAGGTGTTCTTTCTGAGCACCGGATTAAGTGTCTCTAACTGCGGGACTTTGGCTCTGTAGCCAGCTCAGCTGTTCTCCAACCCTGAATAGGAATATTCTGCCAGTCGAGTGGGCCCGGTTCTGAGTAGCCTTGCTTACACTTACAGCTCAAGGCCAAACAGAAAAACACAGGGAAGAATTGCTGTTCTAGTTTAAACTAGTAGAGAAAATAATAAAAATGTGAAACTGGTCACTGGAAAAGTGAAGAACCACCCACCAACGAACTGATCCTAAAAAAGATCTTGGACTGTGCAGAAATGGATAGACTGACTTTGCCACTGAAGGAGAAAGAAGATACTGATTTCTATCAAACTTGGGACTCTTATTGGCTAGAGAAACGGGACTTCGTATAGATTATGTTTCTATGTTATCATAAATGGAAAAAAAATGTGGGGGCTGACCCAGCAGGCTCCATGTTTTTGATGGTTGATGTTGTTTTTAGTTTTTCGTTGTTTTTAGGACTAAAATTTTGAATAAAACTTATTATAAAAAAAATTAAAACTGGGAGAAAAACACAGGGACTACAGACTTGGCTTCTGAAAGCTGGTACCAAAAATAAAAATGCACAGATTCACAGGGGTGGGATGATATGCTTGTGGATCCACACAGGTCTGGTGATTACCTGGTGATAATCAAGCCCCCAAAGTACCTTTTCAGAGCGAAATCTCCTCCCTCAAGAAAAGGAAACGGACAAAAGAGCATCGCTTATTTAACCCAACTGCCCAAAAATCCTGAATGAGCAGTGAGGCGATGTAGCTGCATCCCAGCCAGTGAAAACTTGGCGGAGAAGACCCGCCCTACGCATTTAATTGACTTTAGGAGTTCTGTTATAACAGGATGCTTAAAGCTTCCCTCCTGCAGCAGGTTTGCTCATGCTTGATTTTCCAACAAAGGGATTACGGCGCTAATCGGCTTTCGTCAATTATGCACAACGGCAAATAATGGATCGGAGCCAGTCCATTCCAGCTTTCAAAAACGAAGAACAAGGATGGCTTTGTTTCCAACGGCAACTTCATCACCCCATCCCAAATCTACGTCAAAATTATTTTTAATGCAGCAAACAAAAACAGTTTCGATTCAAAAAGGTGCTCCTAGAGGTGCGTCTGCTTAATTCAGCTCTTTGGGTAGACACAATTTACCCCGTCAGGACAACTTGTAGCCATCAGTGTTTTGTACTACAAATCCCATGATCCCTCACTGTTGGCTAGGTGGGCTGGGGCTGATGAGAGTTTTGGCCTTCTAGATGTTTTAGCCTACAAGTTGCTCACTCCTGGAAGAATAACAGGTACATGTTTTTTAAATAAAATAAATGTACTTTCAGTTTTGGGGGGGTCCTCCTTAAGGGAAAAAAACCTTTTATTAGGTTGTCATTATCTAGTTCACAGACCTTGCGTTGTCATTGCAATATAGATCAGCAAAAAGCAGCTGCAACAAGAGTGCCCACACACGTCTGGAAGCACACCAAAGCACACCACAACACAATATACCTACAAGGAAATCTATCTAAAAAGAAAGCACACACAGAGCGCCACTCAGATCGATGGTGTTGCATGCATCTGCGTGTTTAAAAAGAAAAGAGCTACCCGAAACAAAGAAAAGCAAAAACCGGACCCCACTGCATCCTGCATGATTAAGATGCGCTCTTTTTATTCTGAAACTAGTTGTGACCATGCTGGGTTACATCTGGGATCCCGAGGACCATTAAGGATTAAAAATCGATCTTATGTGGTGTAGGTGTACTTGCTCTCCGACAGAGTTTGTCCCATGCAGCTGATGAAGTATCTAAATTTGGATCTCCCAATGCTGGCTTCCCTTTGCCACCGTGAATATAAGCACTTGGCCATGCTTGCAAGCTGCCACCACCCAGGGCTCTGCACGGGCTCGGAAGTCACCAGTGAAGGAAACACAGCCGAGCAAGGGGAAACTTGGCTGCCTGTCCACAGGCACTGACTGCTGCTTTGAGGACACAGTTCAAGTTTCTGGGTTGCAAGCTGAAGCAAACCCACTCCCCAGCTCTCCTCCCCTGGACACGGGCTCTTCCGCATTAGGTGACTCTGGACCTCCTGAAATATAGGCTGAGTCAGGAGTTTCCCAAGGTTAGAGATGCACGGCTTCCTTGGACAAAATGGCGCAAGCTGTGGGTCATTTAACCCAAGAATTGCTACGGCGTGTGCCACCACTCTCTGCAGAATCAACCTCCAACCAGAGGTTGCTTTGTGACGTGCAAATCTAGACACTATGGCTTGCTCATGGGTCAAAAGAATCACAGGTAACCCAAGAATTAATAGGCCACGTTCCACCATCATGACCATTCGTCCTGGGAATGGCTAATATTATTTGCTTATTTTATTCTTTGGCCAGGGCGACTTATTTTATATTGCTAATTCATTTTATATTTTTAGTGTATTAAATTTTAATTGATGTTTTGTGAGCCGCCCCGAGGCTTCGGCGAATGGGGCGGCATAGAAATTTTCTAAATAAATAAATAAATATGTTTCTTAGATTAATATCTTGCCTTGTCAGGATTAATTAATTACCCGATCGTTTGCCACCACGATGTCCACCCCAGGTAAGCGTCAAGTTCTTTTCTAGTTTCTGACCTTGGCCTCCTGTCCCACAGGGAGACTATTCTAGGTGGCCTTGAGTGACCCCTTGCAAAGGCAAAGCCTTCACATCACCTTGGTGGCAGGTGGAAAAATCGTACATTTAACTGACTCCACTTAAAAGAAAACCAAAACGAAACAGAAGCTGTAGAAATAACAGCTTTGGAGAGGTAAAAGATACTTTGCTTAGCCTTTTCTTCTTCAGCTCCAACTTTTTAAAACTGTCCTTATACAATCAGGAAAGGTTTGAAAGGGAAAGCGAGAATTGCACTGCAACAGAGATACGCATTTTCAATTTGGTTGATAATCAGAAGGCAGTAAATCATGGCATGAAAGAGAAAGTACGCTCTGTGGTTCAGAGCCTGTCTTATTCCTACCTTGCTTTTGAGGCCCAGTATGGCCGCGATAATGAGCAGAATGCCTCCCAGTCCCACTAGGAAGTACTGTGCATATTCCAGCAAAGCAGGGAGAAGCACCAGGTTGTTATAAAACTCAGACACGACGTCTCCTTCAATCTCCGCACCCTGCTCAAAAACAGCAAAAATTAATTTCCTTTTGCCCACAAAATGGTCCTAAGCTTATCTACACAGGGCAGTTATCCTGTCATCTCTTCATTGCGCTTCAGGGCAGAACTGAGATCCCTTTTACTCTTTCCTGCTTTTCAGCTCCATAACTTCTAAAAGGTTTACCTGCTCTAAAAAAAAAGCCTTGCCAAAAGCGATCGCGCAACGTCATTTAATGACCCCACGAAGAACTCCAAGTGGGGAAAGACAAGTGTGCAAAAGCTGCATGAAGAATCGCTTTGGGTCTGTGCAGAACAGACATCAAGGCGGAATTCCTGCACGCTGTAGGGTTTTGGAAATCAGGAGTCGGTCATGAGATTGCATCTCTGCACTGTTTTGGTAGAGGAGAATATAAGAAGCCGTCCAGGTGCGAGGAGAATCCAGGTGTGGTGGCTGGAAAGGAAGGAGGCATGTTTGGAGACCAGGGATCGGGGAGGAGGCACAAACCAACAGCTGGCTCTTGATTTTCAAGCCGCCGGCCTTCCTCACACTGGGCTATCTCAGGGCTAAACTCCACAGGGAGGTGATACAGGACTCCAGCTTGAGTTAAAGCCATGCCTTCTCACCCAGAGGCTTCCCCTCCCTACTTCTCAGATTGCCTGGGAGCTGGTTGTTGTGGGTTCCCGGTAAGGGAGCCCTCCTGCTTGCTTGGGGGCATCTGTTCGGGTTTGGATCCTCTCCCTTTTGCTAGAGGCAGAGAACACTTGCTGGGAAGAGAAGAGGCAGCTGTTCTTGGCAGGCGCTTCAGGGTGACCCCGACTCTTCGGATGGCGAGGGCAAAGCCCGGGAAAGGAGGCCTGCGGCGATGACGGAAGAAGCGCTCTCTTATCTCAAGGCTGCTGCCTTCAGGTGCTCAGGGTGTGGAGGTGCTGGGAGGGGACTTGGGAGAACAGAGCGGTCTGATCCTTGACCCCATGATACGGCGTCGGGAGAGAAGGGCCAGCCAACCGGAGGGCCTGCATGCAGCTCAGAGGCTTGCCCATCTGCAGAGAGGTGCGGTCCAGGGGTACTCAAAAGGAAAGTTCTTGGAAATAGTTTCTCGTTTGCACTCAGTGCATGCTCAGAGACCCTTTCTTTGCTGGCTCTAGCTTGCTGGATATACATTGGAAATAGAGAGCTTTTGCCAAAGAACTCTCTGTTGGCTGAAAAAGAGGAGTGGGAACCAAGCTCCCAACTATAAGCTGCTTGGACCTTTTCTTACGTGACACCCGCTCCCCAAAGCAACCCCGCATGGTAAGTTAGGCGGCAGGAGTCATGGCCTGAAGCTCAGCCAGCAACATGGTCCAAATCCAGTGTTTCTCTCTCTCTCCCCCCCCACCCACCCACAAATATGAGCCACGGGGAAAAAATCTGCCAAGGAGATCAGTGTATCTACCACAAGCGTGATTCCTTGCCTGTTGGAGAAACAGGTTTGTTCGTTTTCTCCAAAAATAAATGCCAATTTTGCCTTGAGGGGCTTTCTTTGCACTGCCACTTCAGTCCCACTGCCCCCTTGGATTTCAGCCCCACATTTCCTTCAGCTCCCAAGACCCCCTTTCTATGCAACACAGCCAGCCCAGTTCCTTCTAGCCCTAAAACTCCGAGGGCTTTTCCTTTTCTTTTCAAGCTGCTATTTCAGCACCAGGTATAGGATTATATTCTGTTGCTGGTGCTTTTTCCCCAACTTCCTTTAGTGTGCTTGGGCCTCTTGTGATGCATCAAAGCAGGTCAAAACTGCAGGCGGACCATTTTGAGCCTCTTCTAGGTGGTGCAGAAAATGGGAGAGAGAGAGAATGTTTGCAAGTTTTAAACAAACTTTTCTAGAACACAAATTGACCTCTTTTGGGGACAGAAGCACAATTCACGGCAAAATTAATCTTCGTAGCCTGGTGTTTAAATAAGTCATTGCAAAATTGGCTTATACACATTATCACGGTTGAGAACAGAACATTTAGGCAACCCTCTCTCTCTCTCTTTCTAACGAAGCCACAGAATTCAGTCTGAGACAGGCTGCTTACACTGTGAGTGGCTCACTCGAGAACAGAGCTGCAAAACCTCAGCATCATGGGAGTTCTGGAGTTACTCCCCTTTTGAAAGGACTAGGTATTGGCAGGTAGCCTGAAGTGAAAGCAGGTCGATTATTCTGGCCCCGCCTAGCTCCTGAGAGCTTTTCTGAAAATATTAGCTCAAAGGAAGTCCAACAACTCCCCTCTACATACACACACGTGAACTAGAAATGCAGATTTTGCGACTGCACACTTGAACTCACCTCAGAAAACCACAGTATGGGGAATACAATTGGCTTGATGGACCCCGTCTGCCTGCAGGATTAGGAAACAGCAAGAAAGTTGAGATGCAGTGATGGGAGCAATACTTCATGTCAGGGGCAAATGCAGACCTACCTGGGGGCTTTTTTGCAAAGCTCTCTGGGGAAACCGCTCTAAATTGAGGAAGTGCAGAGGAAAAGGAGCACAGAAGGCCTCAGCCCCCTTTAAACTCCAGCCCACGGCTGCAGAGGCAGAACAGAGAAACCCCCTCCAATTAAGAGCAATTTTACTTACAGTATGCCATTGACTTGCTTCATGAAAAGGCTCAGCTGCATTCTGATGGCACATGAAAGGGGAACTCCAGTCAGCTGCATTAGGAGACAATAGGGCATTGTTTCTTTCTTCACACACACACAGTTGTTTTTCATGCCATTTTCCACCCGGCAGCCCCGCAGACGGCCTCACAATAATAATGTACCAAATCCTATGAAATCCTTTTTCCAAAAAGCAGCAGGAGAGCAGCCGTTGAACCAAAATGACCAATATCACGTACCCAAATTTTAAAAAGGTGGCTGCTGTCCCAGGAGAGTAAATCCAAGCTTGATAAAAGGGCACTGTACATCTTTTGCCCGAGTGTAATCAACTCAAAGCCCCCACGTTCTTTAAGTCCTCACAACGACCCTGAGAGGTAGGGCAGGCTGAGAAAGCGTGTCAAGGATTTCATCACTGAGAAGGGATTTGACTTTCATCTCAGCAAAACTAGTTACTTCCTAGCTCCAGACATGACGTAAGGCTGGGAAAACACTGTGGCTGTAAAATTATTATGTGCATCAATCCTTCAATATATCTATCTAATATATCTTTTTACTGTGGCCATTTAATAAAGTGGCCTTTTATGACAAAGACAACAGAGAAGGGAAAAAGTTATGCAAGATTACTATTGCTACATTGCATTTATGCCCCTTTTTTTCCTTCTTGGGAGGAACCCAAGGCAGAGTACGTGAGCCTTCTCCGCTCCATTTTTATTCTCACAACAACCCTGCGAGGTAGGCTAGCGTGAGAGACCACGAATGACCTAAAGTCATTCAGGGAACTTCACGGCTGAGTGGAGGCTCGAACCAGGATCTCCCATGTCCCCAGTCTAACTCCCACGCCACGCTGGCACTCTTCCAACACATCAAGAAGTCCATTGACCCCTAAAAACTGAAAAGCAAAGGCAACAGAGCAGAATACAGAAGAGGTGCTATCACGAAAGTCAAAGAAGTCCCTGAATTGGCCTGGGATTCATTAGTGAAGATGGTCTGAGGCACACACAGAGGGGATTCATGGCTTACTCAGCCCATGCTTGGTTGCCCTGCCCCAGGCTTGTCTGGCAGATGAGCGCACAAATTCTGACGTACTGCCTCAGTCTCCGGGCTGTTCCTCCCCTGGGGCCTCGGAGAACCAAGGGGAAGCCCAAGCCGTCATTGGCCTCATTACAGACTCGCATCCAATTAACCTGATTTAGTGCTGGCATGAAGCTTTCTATCGCACGGCATGATGCAACCGTTCCTCTCACCTTTAAGCACTAAAAGAGTTTCGTCACAACTGCCCCTTGAAAGGGGCCTCCTTCTCTGCTCCAGGGCGGGCCTGTACCATGTGGCAAACATCCCTGGTACCCTTGAGGAAGCGACACGCACAGCCTCTCCAGTCACAAGCGGTTCCCAGCGCTAGCCCAGCTCCCCAGAGGAACCGGGAGGATGCTAAGCATGAGAGAGGGTCTCGCTTGCCTCTCTCCCGCACAGGGGAGCCTCTCCTGGATGTCTGCCCTCTTCCTCCCGTCTCCGCAGCTTCTTCAAACTGGTGACGAGGCAGCAGAACAGTGGAAGGCGCGTTTTGGGCCTTGGATTATTGCTAGGCAGCGTGGCAGGATCACGGACAAAGAGTTCATTGTCTGGCTGCAACAGCTCCATCTCTTGTTCTCAGAATAAACTCAGTTTAGCAAGTTGCCTTTTAGCACCGCAGAGTCACAAACCGCGGCACTCTTGCGTAAGACGCCGTCAAAGGAATGGCTGTCGGGGTGGGCCGGCGACGCTGGTCTCCAACGAACGGGAGGGCAGGAGCTGAACGGCACAAGCTCACCGGGCGCTCGCAGCGGTCTCTCTCTTTTCGGAACCCATCATTACATCCCCGTCCCCCAGGCCTGTGTGGCTGTCTTTGGAGTCGGACTCTATTAGGAGAACGGGCTTAAATGTTTGGCTGAGACAAACTCATCTGGAGAAGTTTAAACATTTGCTCCTTGCCTGGATGGCCTAATTTTTATTTATTTTATCTAGAACTTTTTTTAGACAGTCCCTTATCGTAGTCTTGGGACTGTTTCACATTAAGACAAAATAGAATAAAACGTAGCATCCTCAAGACAGGGAGCTTAACGGGAATAACTGATGCAGGATTCATGCAGGGCCCTACGGGATTCCTATTAGTTCTGAACGGCCACTGGGGGAAGCTGAATCTAGAATCTTCTCTTCTAGGGGAGCTTAGTGCAGTATTTTTTTTAATCTCTCCAAGTCTGTTCCCTGATGTTAAAAAGTTTCTCAGAGACCGGCCAGAGAACGCCCATCTTCCCCTCAGGCTCGTCACTTGATTAGCAATTACGCTAAGCCAAAGTAAGAGCACTTATCCATTTGAAATGGTCACTGCAGGCTGTCAAGAAGCCAAATGCTTCAAGTCCAGGCGTTCAGGGATGGATGAATACCGTTATGTAAATTGACTTTACTGGGACGGAGAAATGAAATCCTAGTGGGGAGACGGGAGGTCCTGGCAGGTTATCAGCAAACTGCTGATTGCTTAAAACCTTTTCCCTGGTCCCTGAACATGCTCTCTGTCCAAGCAGAGGCAGCTGCTATGGCAGCGAATGGCAAAGCAAGACCAAGGAATGAGGAAGGATTCCCCATAGCTTTAAGCACCCTAGAGCAGAGACGCGTTCTAAGATCTGGATTCATGTTATAAGCCTCCGGGAGAAAAGGAGGCTGAGTTAAGTAAACAAAAGTGGATGGAGCTGGGTTTGGTGGCAAGACAACAAGGTAATGTCATGTTTTGGAAGTTGATCTGTCCAGCATTACATCCTGACACACTGAAAGCAGAACCCCAAATCCCTGGCTCATTATGGAAGCAACACTCTGAAGATATTTTCCATGCTGAAGTATGAATCTTCCCGATGGGCCACTGTTTTCACTTTTGGAGATCAAACATTTACTCTACTACCTGGAGTAAATATTGTAATACTGTAATCTGCTTAGAGTGTCTTTGGACTAGTAGAGCAAAATATACATTGAATGAACACACAAACAAACCTGACTATCTGGAAAAGCACCCTGGGATGATACACGCCCTTTTAAATTATGTCAAGGCAACCTTGCCTCCAGCAAAGGTTTTTTTACACCCTTTAATCTGAACTGAATCATCCCAGGAGGGTTGGGAGGGCTAATAAAATTGTCCTGCTGCATGAAAAGGGCAGGGGAACAGAGCCTAGGAATTACTGGCTGGTTAGCAAGAGTTTCAAACGCACGGAAGATTCCAGCTGAATAGACTGGGATTACGGGCAGAAGCAAATGACATTTTTGCCAATGAACAAGCATGTTTCTGGAAGGAAAAGCATGCAGCTGATGCTGGTTTGCCTTCGCCCATCCGATTCATGAAAGACCGGAACACGTCTGGCTGATGCCTTCTTGGTGACACTCGCAATTCCCTCACTAAACATGAGAGACAGAGTTTCTGAAGCAAGTTAGAAACATAGAAACAGAGCAAGTCAGAAGGGACCTCCTGGGCCATCTAGTCTGACCCCTGGCTCCAGCCAGCTCAGCTCACGACAGAGAAGTTGCCATGAAACTCCCCTAACTAGCCAACACGCAGCCATATTCTTTTTTGAAAACCATGGTTCGGGGGAGGACAATCTTAATACCACGATCCCCAGGGTTTAAATTTTCTGCCTCCCAGAAAGGTTTTCACAGCCCTCTGTTTTCATGCGATGCCGACAATTTATTTGGCACGATGAAATCCCCTTTTTCATCATTGCTGCATTTGGGGCTGACTTAAGGATGACTGTAGTTATTCATGTTGGGATCTGAGTGTTTCTAGCAGGTGCTAGTGTTCTGTTTTTCATTATACGTATCTTTTAATTTGCACCCCACCCTGAGGGCTAGAGGGCAGCACAGAAAAGCAGTCAACAATTAAAGCAAGCTGCTGAGAGAATACTTTTCAAGATTCAATTAATTCCCATGGGACTGGATGGCTCATGGGCTTTTATATTTTCTCAGACTGACAGTTCTCAGTTCAAGGCCATCTCAACCAGCGTATTGCTACACTTGGCCCAATTTGAGAATGGCTGCGTAACAAATTCTGCTATATGAAAAGTCAGAGCACAGCCCGAAACAGTCCAGGACTTGCTGATCCTCTAGACCCCGGGGTCCCTGGAAGGATGGATTGCTCCTAGCAAAACGTTTATTAGATGTTTGCTGCACTAAATCTCTGTTTTTGGGAGAGCGTATCTCCTTCTTGTGAAACATCACTCCCTCTTCCCAGGGGACTGCTGTTCTTCCCAGGGGAGGGCGGATGCCCCACTGCTTGACAAGACAATCTCCGCACCAATCAATGTATGGCTTTATAGTTGCTTAATCGGAATGATGTTTTAATTTTGAAAGAAAAAAAACAAACCTTTCTTTGTACTATAGAATCCATGGCAAGATACAGGCCATAAAAGACACAGACTTTTAGATATGATTAGATATGACTCGTGCCAGCTTGGATAAAAAGAACTGTTCCCAAAGCAGTCCGTTGAGGGTTCAACCTGCAGGTCACGAGGCGGGTATGGTGGTGCTGGTAGGGGAAATCTGCAGTGAGGTCACAGAGTCCAGAAGTGATAGAAAGGGACTGTCCCCACTTCAGGGGACAATCATATACTTAAATACCCCTTTATGCAACCTTTGACATCACCCTGTATAGAGAAAAACAGAAAAGCAGCAGGGAGACTGGACTAGAACGGATATGCTCTACCTCTGTTGTGAAATGCCCAGAGAGCTTTGGCGGTTGGAAGGTACAGAAAATGAACAGAATAGAATAAATAAAATTAAAGTAAAGCAATTACCGACCTAACAAAAGCATGTTACTTGGCTAAGTTGCGCAGCCCTAACCCTGCACCTAAGGACCAGAAAGGACAAGCCTAACACAGCTTTTCAAAAAGGGAACATTTAGGAAATTACAGGCTGGTTAACTTGATATTTATTCGAGGTGAACTAGTGGGAAGTTTCACTGGAGACAAAAATCACTAAGTATTACGAAGGACCACTCTGGCTGAAGATGGATCACTGTTGCTTCAGCAAAGGTCAGTTCTGTCTTGCTAAGCTTTGAGGCAGGACTCACCTTTCCAGAAACAAGACTGAATAATCTTCTTCAAGGCACGTTCAGATCATATACAGATCAGAGACATACGTGTGACACATTCAGAAGGCTTTCCTCTGATTAAAGGAAACAGGCGTAGTAATTTATGCTTGTTGTGATAACATCGCAAAGCAGCTCATGGATTCCACCCGTGTTTCTGTCTGTATGGATTTAGAAAGGCTTGGGCTGGAGTAGATTTAGAAAGGCTTGGGCTCTCTGTTATGAGAACAGTTACGAAAGGAATCTTCTGTTTAGGAAAAAGCAGGTGTGTGGGGCTGAAGCCCGTGTCAGAAGTACGCAGAAGTACTCCTAGGCCTGGCTTGCAGGACGTTCGCCTGTGGCGAGGCGAGGCACCTGCGGGCACCTCTGGAGCCTGGGGGCACGGACACTGATCTGCAGCGTGGACGAAGGGGACAGGAGGGCTTTTCCCGTCTTCCTCTCATAGCTGCAAAACCTGAAGAGAATGAAGGTGGCGGTTCAAGACAGATCAAAGGAGGGACTTCGTCATGCAGCTCAGAGCTAAAGGGCGGCATTTGCAATTGTGAGATGCGATTCTGCTGAACGAAACACCTTTGCAAAGAGTTAGGCAAATTCACGGGGGATAAAGCAGTCGGTGCTGCGGGCGAGAGAATCGTTGCCCTCCTGGCTGGAAGAGGATGCTGGACAAGGGGGCCTTTGGCTGGACGGAGCTGGGCTCGCACCTTCTCCTTGCTCTAAGAAAGAATGGTTTCCTTTTTCCAAGGCATGGCATTAAAACTGCTCTGCCGCTGCCATCTGAGGTGACCTGGGCACCACTTGCCAGCGGCATCCTCTCCCGGGCCACATTCCTTGGTCACCCTCTGCGTTACTCAGGGCACGAGTTGCAAAAGAGGTGACCAGGAGCGTTACATTCTGAGGCGTGAACACGTTTGCCGGCAGAGTCCAGCAAACACAGACCGTGCAGCTGATCCGCCTTGGGTTGCTGTTGCTTCATTCCCTCAATTGATTAAATGCCTCGCAAAATAAATTTCTCTAGGCTCTATACAAATGGGTTTCAAACACAACATGCAAAGCACAACGAAGACCAGAAAAGCATCTGACATGCCTGCACCATGACAATGATAGAGTGCAACACGAAATCACCATCGGGCACGACTGTTAAACCACACCACATGGGGTACTGTGATCTTAACAGCTGATCTTCAACCCCAGGAACACCGAGATACTGAAACACCCCGAGAGAACAGGAAAGTTTCACATGGATGCCACAGAGACGGCTGTGCGGATGCCAGGAAGCCTTCCCTGAGAGAGGACGCCAGGGCTGGGAAGCAGGCGCTGCTGAGAAAGTTCTGTTGCCACCCTCCGCCACCAGCTTTTCAGCACAGGAAGGCCCCAAGCCTCACCTCCCGCCCAGGGGGCTTGGTGCCAAGCCAGTGCTGATGCACGAGGCCCCCTGCCCCTCACCAATTTGTCGAAAGGGCTCTCTCCAAAGGCAGTTTTGTGGTGTGCAGTCACCCCAGGAATGCCCACTTAAAAGGAGTCAAGGGCTGGTTGCTGGAAGTCACTCACCGGATGCACATCGAGATAAAATCCATGCTGCTCTTCGCTTGGATGCAAGCCGACCACGGTGTCCAGCAGCGCAGGGTCGGCGTTCAGGAAGTGCGGTTGGGAAAGAAACAGGGACACATCTTTAAGGAAGAAAAGACAGAGGAGAGTGTAAAGGGAACGCGAAGAAGCTCTTTCTAGAGGACTCTCTGTAGGATCGCCTCTCTAGGTGCACCTTTCCCATTTTTCTCCCACCGTGCTTTTATTTCAGACTTTGGAGTATTTTGGCTGGGAAGCTGATGGGTGGGGGGGAAGGGGCGGGGGGGAAGGGGCGCCTTTGCAAGCTTGGGTGACCACTAGGATGAGAAAATTGCTTTTTAAAATAAACGAGATGTTGATCCGGAGCGCATTCGGGATAAACATGGTTTTTCCTCCCACGAACCAAGTGCTGACCCCACCCGCCTCCGTTTTCCTCCCCGGCCGCTAATGAATGCTGCTCCGTGCCCGCCTCGTCCTCAACGGCAGCTTGGATTACTCAAGCTAATACTGGAGGGCAACGCAGGCAAAGGCGAATTACTGCGGATATTCGCATATTTTTTTCCACGGGGCCGAGAAGAGGGAACTGCCAATACATGAAGGATACAGGGAAAGCCCACGGTGGGGCCTCACGTGCGTCGTGCTCAAAAAAGGAGCCAGGTTATGGCACCCTGCATGAATCACGCAAGGTCGAACCGTTCAGAGTGCGACCCTGCGGAATTTGGGCAGAACAGAGGCACAGAATCCCCAGCATGCCCCAGCTCACCAGGCAAGTTGGGGCTTGTAGTCCTTTTTTCTGTCTAAATATGGCTAAGGTTGCAACTTAAGCTGTGGACTATGTAAAACTTTGCCCTGCTCGCCACAGGAAATCTGAGATCTCACCAGAGAGTGCCTATACGCCTCACAATAAGGACTAGGATCTTTGCTAAAAACAAAAACAAAACAAGACCACCCTAGCCAGCAAATTGAGATTCTCATTTTGAAACTGAAATCCTATTCTCAGCTTTCCCTATATTAGCGTATCATTCATTTCTAGCGTACACTCATCTCTTCCCTCTCCCCGGAATGGCTCAAGCAAGCGCCTACCATTTTCCCCACCCCCTATTTAATCTTCCCTGCAAACCCACGAATTATCTCAGAGGCCGAGAGAGAGCAAGATAATCCGGTGCACTTTGAATCTAGGTCTCCCCAGCCAAAGACCAAAGGACCAAAGAGCATGTGCGTACACACAGGCAATCTGCCGGATGCGGCCTCACACGGAGTCCAGGCCGGGCCCTTGGGACATCGGGCCCGAAATGTCAGCAGCCCGCCGGTGGTGGGAACAAACCCCTCACCCCAAGTCTCGGCAGCAGCTTTTCAAGCCACCTCTGGAGATGCTGGGGACTGAAGGGGGACCCCCTGCATGCACAGCGAGGGCCTCTCCGCCGAGCTGGAGCCTCTTAACCCGCGTAACAAGGCCTCACCCGCCACTCAAAGTATTTCAAGGTCCCAGAGGCTGGCACCGGCCCTTCCTCTCCACGCCTCAGAGCTTCAGGACAAGCAAGGGGGGTGAATTCAGCACGGAAGCGGGTGTGGACTGGGCTCAGAGCTTGTTCTCTGGGCACATCATCCGCCATCTACAGTCTCTGCTGTGCCTCTTCAGAATCTCTGGCATCAGGGCTGGGAAACGCCCCTGCCCGAGCCCATTTGGCACACTTGCCCTGGACAAGATCGGGCAGTGGAGGGATCCCGCAGAGTGCAGATCAGAGAGCCACCTTCCCGATCCGGCCAGCCTTGGCTGCCGCCTTGCTCATCGCCAGCCTCGGCGGCCAATGCCCATCAGAACAGTGAGCGTGGTCGTCTGAGGCGCTCCGTGATAAAAACCTGAGGAGCAGTCTAAGTTCTTCTGCAAAACCCAGCAGCAAAGCCACAGAACATAGAAACTGAGTGAGTCAGAAGGGGCCTCCCGGGCCATCTAGTCTGACCCTGGCTTCAGCCCGCTCCGCGCATGACGTGCCCACCATGCGCACGAAGGAGACAGGCCCCCAGTGAAATGCCCCCAGTGCGCCGAAGGGGATTTGCAAAGCCAGCAAGCACCTCCCTTCCAGCCCAGTCCCCTCCGAGCACTTTTCGTGCCTATCCACTAAATGTGAGTGCTTAGGAGACGTACTGTATCGACAGGAGCTGACGTTCAGGAGTCCGGACTGCCGGCAGGGGCAAAAGCCTTCGTTGGGTGGATAATCCGTCCCGTTGGAAAACAAGGTCTTCTGGCCAGTATACCGGAATGTAGGGATGCCTTTGAATTGTCCCGACTGAACGTACTCCAATGTCATTGATCTGAAGGGGGGGGGTTTAAGAGACACAGGTTGCCCAGGAGGGAGCAGGGTCCGGACACTCCGGAACACGCCAAGCCCCACAGCCAAACTGCTTCCCTCGCTGCTTTTCTGCTCTCGTTCGCCTCCTTCCTCCAGCTGAGCAGCACTTCTTACTTTCGAACAAGGGTGCAGGACCTCAGCTAGCACCAAGCGCGGCCCTCGGGGCTTCCCAAGAGGGCCACGTCCCTCTCGGCCCAGCCCCCCGTCCCACAGGCCCCGCCCTCTGTCCCGCAGCCACCACTCATTGGCTGGCCTTTCAGAACTTGTGCGCCTTTTTCCTTCCATTCGAATGGCCTGAAAAGCCTCTCCGGAGGCTTCAGAATGGCAATAAGAGCCTTTCAGCTGCACTAGGCTGCGACCCTCGGCCAGGTTGGCCAGGGCACTGCCCTCTCCAGCCCCCGAGAGCATCCCTGAAGCGGAATCTGCCGCTCCTGCCGAAAGAGGCTCAGCGCCCGTCCCTCCCAGAGGAACCAGGGTATGGATGAGACCACCCAGGGGTTCTGGCTGTGCTGGAATCTGAACAGGTGAAACAGCAGAACTTCAGCAAGTGGCTAGGAGAGCCACCAAGCAATGGGGCTGTATCTGATCTGAGGAAAGGAGAGCTCGTCTGGGCCCTTTCGGGCTAGGAAAAGGGGCGACTGGGACGGCAGACGCGGCAGCGGTGCAGCGGGAACGCCGAGGCCCACCAATATTTCCAGAAGCTGTGTGTTGTGCAGCAAGACTGCTCTCTCTCCGGTCTAAAGTTCTGGCTGGCCCGGCTGCTTTTCCTGGCTCCCTCCGCTTCTTCCCTTGCCCCAAGGCTGGAGACACTGGCAGGGTGGGATCTCCGTGCAGCCCAGTCTAGAAAGATGCTGCGTTCCAGGCATCCTGTCCATTTGATAGGGGCCCAAACCTACTTCCAGGGATGCTAGGGATACAATCTTATGCTGCTATTTTGTAGTTGCTTGCTGTCGACATTGTATTGCACTGCTCTGCTTTAATACATGTAGCCTTTACCCATCAATGTATTCATTGCGATTCCAAACACACACAAACACACACACACACACACAGAGCAGTTGCCTCTTGGAAACACAAGAGGTTGATAGAATGTTGCATGGAGTGGAGACAGAAAGAAATTTCTTTTACCTCCATATACTGCTAGAATTCAAAAACAGTGATGGACTAGTTTACAATATATTGGACTCCAGCGATTAACAATTATAATGTCTTGGTTTGACATATAGAGTCTGGTTCCGCCTTCTGAATCCAGAGCTTACTTAATTTGCTCTTGAATTTCTTTAGTGAATGAAAAACAGGGTAAATCGTCTATTTGCTGTTTCCTCTAAAGAATTGATTAATCAGTCTATTTCTGGAAAGAATCCCATTAGATGGCACAGTTTACAATTTAGTGGTCTTGCAAAGTTTTTTTTGGCTTTGTTTGCTTGAAAATTTAAGAGTTTCAAAGCAGTGCTATTAGATTCCAAGATCATCCAATGCAGTTGATGGTCAATAGATTCAGGCCAGGCAAGAGATAAGACTGCTTCACAGAATACCATCTACAGATCTGTCACTGGCTTAGATGGGCTACAAGATTAGACTAATGCATTTGTGAGGAGGCTTTCTTTCAGTGACGTCTTAATCCCATGATAGCAAAACAGAGCTTTAATGATTAAAGACAGCAAATGGCCCCGCAGTTTATCGGCAGCGCATGTGTGGCGAGCAGAACACAAGGAGGGCTCTGCTTCGCGTCCTCCCATGCTGAAGCTGCGAAGTGGGAGATTCAGGAAGGATGAATCCATAGGGCACATAATTAAGCAGTGGAACTCACTGCCACAAGATGTGGCAACGGCCAGCAACCTGGGTGCCTTTAAAGGGGAATTGGCCTAATCTGGGGAGGATAAAGAGGAGGTATATAGCTTCCGGGAAGTATGTTCTGAGCACCAGGTGTGAGGGGAGACAGCAGGTAAGAGCTCTACTGCACTGAAATCCTCTTGAGAGAAGAGTTTAAAACATCCCCTAAATCAGTGCACAGGCCCAATTTCACCCTCATTATGGCACGATGCTACAACTGGGCTCCCTAAAGAAAAAGAGCAACATGACTCCATGTAAAAAGAGGTGTGGCACAGAGGACTAGAACCTTGCTTAGCTTACCTGCAAGCATCAGGGCTGTAGAACTCCACAGGTGTGGAAGGGGTCATGAACGGGGGCCAAATCTCCCCGGCGGTTCCATTGATCATGTTGCATTGATCAGACCTCCAATAGGACAACTGTGGAAGAGACGGAATGCTTAAGACATACAGATGGTCATGCAGAAAGACGAAGACTCCTTGCATTCAAGGAGACCCACTCCTGTGCAAGCGTCACACTGAAGTGTCACAGTCCCGACGGCTTGCTTGCTTTAATGCAGATCTGTTTTGCTGGCAAGTTCGTGCCAGTGGCAAGTTTTGCTGGCAAGTTCGTGCTTGACTTCTTTTCTTTCAGTGCAGAATTTTAATGTAAGCAGTGGAAAAACAGGGCTCTAGGAACGAGAAGCGGCACTGAAACATCCCTCGCCTTGCCGAGCCTCTTTCTCGAGACATGCTGCCTGCAGGCATTCGATGGTGAGGAAGATAACAGCAGAGGACTCTCAGCACCGTCTACCCACGCAATTGTAGGAGGCTCCCATCCTCAGGGAAAGGCAGAGTTTTAAGAACAACCACGGCCTCTTTTACCTTTTTCAAGCCGTTCCAAGAATCCACCATATGGATTTTTGAGATATCATCCATGCCCGTGTACACCGTGAAGAGCCCCGTACTGGTGCCGTTCAGCTGCAGCGAAGAGAAGAGGGGATCAGCTCCGGCTGCCGAGGATCCCAAGAGGCCTCAGGACCCCCTGGGAAGCCCCTGTCGTGCCCAGCTTCTTGCTTCCGCCATGATCTCAAGCGTGCCTCTCTCCCCAGGAGAGATGCTTGCTTACCTCACTAAAGAGGCCAAATTTCCCTTTGAACGGAAGCATGCCGGGCTTGATGGTGTTCAGGAACTCGAGGAGTGGGTCGTCGTACCCCCACAGGATTTGTCCGACCGTGCGGTTCATGAAAGCCTTCTGCCCAAACAAGGCCAGGGCGCTGGTGAAGGAGAGCTTCACCCCGAACGGCATGTTCTCCAGCATCAGCGATGCTCCCTTTTGGGGTGGTGGGGCAGAGAGGAGAGGAGCCATCCCAAAAATGAAGGCAGGCAGTAGAGGACAAGGAAGAACAGAGGGTGGATGATTAGGGACATTGCGTGGAAATATGGATGGAGGTCCACAACATCGAAGGGAATTCTGCCATGGCAACCTGAAGTCTATGAAAGGGTAACAGAACGTCTGTGCCTGATATTTCTGTCCCTTTTGTACTTCAGACCTGTTCTGCTTTTTATAGTGAGCTTAAATTACAGCATCCTGCATTTTCAATATTAGACCTTAAAAGCTTTGCTCGACGGGTGGTTGTTAACTGTTTTCAAGATATACCAATGAAAGAAAGAAAGAGGGTTGTTAGGAGTTCTGATCCACTTAACTGTTTTACTGGTCTACTGAAATATATTGTATTGTTGGGATTACCTATAGATAATAGTTATCTCTTTCTCTGCTTTGCTTTACTGGATTTTTTTTTTTCATTAAGAAATGACGCACTTTCCTGTTTGTTCTCCATTTCGGAAAAATCTCCATTTCATGTTCTAAGAGAGCTGGAGAAACAGATCTCTGATTGAAGCATTAAGTTGGAACAACTGCCTATTTTGTCTTCTGAGCTCACTTTTCATCAATTTCATAAATATGACTCTTATCTGATAGATCTGACCTTTCCCAGAATTAGCAAACTTCTAGTTATACAATTTCAAACATGGCAGATAGATCATGATGACAAGTACGTAATTGGAATTCCCCCAAAATGGAAAGATCTGACACACGATGTGCTGACTGTGTCTTTACATGCATTATGCTTGGGAAGGAGTTCTAACCTGAATTGTATTATGAAATACATACCATTTGCTGTTGGGCTGAGAGCATCATATGACCCAACCGTTGGCATTTTTTTGTCTTAGCAGCTGCAAAAATTCATGCTAAAGTCCCAAAACCCATTGCAAGTACAATTGCAAAGGGTAGGGTAAAAGTATATTTATAAAGAATTATTCTTTAATCACTTCATGATTTTATCTCACTAATACAGTTCTTCATGTTCTCTAAATCATTTATGCTAAATGCAACAAGCTTTGTTAGCAGTGGTACTGAGTAGGATTCAGCCCTACGTAATATTAGGATAATAATTTGCAGGTTAATTTAATGTACCAGCTAAATTTGCTAGTAGGAACCAGCATTGCTACAAAAGGAATCCAACTAAACACTATAAAAAGATCTCTCAAATATGACCCTTTCAAGGGGCTTGGATCCCGTCTTTCCTTCTGTAAGCACAGCTCTCATCAGGGAATAGGGGCAATTTTACATCCATCTGGGGCTGCCCCTGCCGAAGTCCATTCCCAGGGAGCCTGTGGGAGGCTGCAGATGGTGGGGAAGTCTGTAAAAATGCCCCCCACCACCACATACAAGCCAAAGAGCAGCTGAAAAATGGAGCCAAGCCAACGCATCTAAGTTGTACCCCCTCTAACTCTTAGAAAGCAATCTGCATTTTAAGCATGTGATAAATGGTCAAAGGTGATCTCCCAAATTACAGTGAATGGCCTTCCTACTGTTCTCCAGGGCTGGGCAATCAAAATCGCTGCATCCATCAGCAAGCAGGAAAATCAATTCAGCATGCAGCTCTGAATACTTTCAAGTATCTTTTCTCAATCAGAAGGACTAGGACCGTAGAAGCGTGTTTTTTAAGCTGATATAGAGCAAGAATTTAGGAATCTGAATTCTGTACTTACCCTGTGCAGGTTTTTTTGCACCTCTTACCAGACAATAATATTTTTGATATTATTGTTGTTGTTAAATGCATTTATATCCCACAGGTCTTCCTCTTTCAAGGAACCTCAGGTGGCCCCTCCTTTCAGCTGAACAGGCTGAATTTTGTCACTCAGAAGCAGGTCAAATTGGGTTCAACAGGGCTTACTCTCAAGCAAGTCTAATTCCTAAAGAAGCTGCTAGTTCACTTACCATTACTATGGGATTTGGTATAACAATATAATCTGATTCCGACCCATTTGACTGATCTGGCAGGAAATAGAACCGCCGGTACTCCAAGAAGGAAACTGTTCCGTTGTCATAGAAAGTCACATTTTCTTTTTGTCGAGTCTCCCTGACAAAGAGAAGAAGCCAGGAGTTACATTTCTTACCTGCATTTACTTACTCTAGGAAAAACGTTTCTAAAAGACTCGAAGGGGATCAGAGCTCCAGCAGGAAGCAAAAAAAGCGATGGGCCGGATACATGGGGGATTTCCAATGGCAGCAAGAAAGCGAGGGCTCCTTCAAAGAAAGCAGGGGCCAGCTCAACCTTGAAGAACGGCCGAGCTGACCCAGCTGCCGACACAAGGAGCGGATTCCAACCGTCGGCCAGGGGCGAGCCGCTTTCCCCAAGAAGCTGCCCTTGCAGCAGGCCTGCCTTCATGCGACAGCTCGGCCACAAACCTGCACAACACCGCTGCTGTCAAGCGGAAAAAGAAACCCTTCCAGGTTTACCATGCTCACGGGGACACGGCCCAAAGCATCCAGAGGAGGAAGAGAGCAAAAGAGCAATGTGCTTTAGAATATCTCAACGCAGAAGCAAGCCCTGTGGCAAACACTGGGGTTTCCTCCCAGAAAGCTGTGGGTGCAACCGTGGTTTTAAAACTTGAATGACCCTGACTTCAGAGCGGGGGGGGGGGAGTCCCCAGATGTCGCTGGAATCCCAGCTCCCATCATTCCTGCTGATGAACATTGCTAACCAGCAACATCTGGAGGGGCACATACTTGGTTTGGTATTCGAGCAGCTAAGAAAAGGGAAAGAGAAGCAACTAGGTGTTCCAGGTCTAAAAAGCTACAGAGTTTAGCCTTGTCCTGAGAGGCTCAATATTTACTCCTATTAGTCTGCTGGAGTTACTGTAAGGAGGCTGCTGTTACATAGCTGGATTTGTTTATGACCTTCCTGGGACTCAGGAATTACAGTGTTTTCCAGCCCAATGAGTACACAGGGTACCCTGTAAATACAAACACCCCCTCCCCTCCCCCTTGCACATCTGGCCCCAATTTCTGCAGGAGAACGCAGTCAGAATGCATCTGGCGTGCAGCAGGAGTGGTTTAAGGCTACAACGTGGTTTGAGGAGCAGCTTGCCCAGTTCCCAGGCAAAGGACCGAGAAGCCTAAAAAGGATGTGGCAGCCACACGGGATTAACTGGAGAACTTCTGAACGCCTTCGCCAGCTGCCCACTGGTTGCAACAGAGGGAAGCGCTGAGCATACGAGAGTCCTCGGAAGGCCCACCAGCCTCCCCCGTGCCAGGAAATCAGCAAGGCTCGCAAGAGGCCTCCCGCGCCCGCTCCAAACGTGAAGGGCACGGGAGTGACAGCACTTTCCTCAGCAGAGGCAGCTGCGCTCTTCCTAGTTGCAGGCAGGGGGTGACTCAGCGGAGCGCACTCTGGCTTGCCTTCCTGTGGTGCGGCTGCAAAGACTGCCGTCAGCAGCAGGGCGAGCGGTTGAAAGGGGAGAGGCGCCTCGGAGGGAAGGGGAAGCTGGCAGCCCTGTGCGGGTGATCCGAGGGTGGCGGATTAAAGCAGCTCAGCAGAGGGGCCCCCAAGCGACGTGACCCTTAAGTCCTGACGCCTTGAGCCTCAGCAGAGAGGGGAAGGAGAGTCTTGGTTGGCCTTCAACCTAATCTCGGCCGGGAAGGAAAGAAAGACATTTAGGCTAAGAAGCTTTCGCTGTGCCTGCTGCCTTTGTATGGCACGACAATGCAGACATTCAGCTACCCAAGTGCATTAAGGCACCAGAGATGCAAACTGCACACGCTCAGGACCAGCTGGGCGTGATGCCAGTGGCTGAACCCACGAGGAAAAATGAGAACGCCGAACGCTTTGCAAAGGATTTGGGTTACTGTTCCATCCTAGAAAATCCTCTGTCGATGACACCCTCCATTGATCCCTTGCAGTGGCTTTCAAACTGCATTCTGGGCTTGGGAGCTCAGCAAAGGATCCTTGACTCCAGGACCCATAAGGGCAAGCCAATGTTCCAAAAACTCAGGACTGTTCACCACGGCGGACCTCGTCCTGCAGCAAGGGACCCCGGAGGACCCCGGAGGGCATTCTAGGTCGCATGCTGAATCCCCACAAGGCCGTCAGACCCAGAAGATGGGGCTGAGGGCCCCATGAATTGTCTCCTAAAGGATCCAGAAGTAGGGCTAGAGCCAGCTTGCCAGCCTGTTCAGGCTGACGACGACAAGAAGGCATTGCAAAGACCTGCAAGACGGACACAGGTACAATGGCTCGTGGGAGTCAAGCCATTCCAGAAAAGAGCTGGGAGAGCCCATTGCAGCACAAGGACCATGCATGGCCCAAAAGTGGAAATGAAGAGGCCCGGAGCTGTGCCCGAATTCAGTGGCACCCTCCCGCATTTCATCGCAGTGTGCGGAGGAGGTTTTCTGGTGCACTGCGCCACGAAACCGTGCCCCTCCCAGCACATACTACAGCTGCTTAAGGAAGTGACATGAAGCTGGGTTGGAAAAGCTCCTACCTGTACACGTAAGGACCACGCTGGTTCAACACCGGCTTGGCTCCAAGCAGCACTTGCTTCGAATTCATCACCTCAAACAAATAGATGGACATGGAGAAGGGGAACGGCATGTCCTTCCACAAGCCAAACACCTTGCTTTTGGGTTCCAGTCTCACATTCTGTAACGACAAGTGAAGAGGACATCATTGGCAAGTCCAAGCTGGGCTTCACACGCAGTGGCTGGCTGCGCGGAACCAGTTGCGACACACACATTGACGCAGTGATGGAGCACACAGAAAAACGAGCAACTATCACCTTGGAAAGACAGCGATCTGTTGGTGGCACTCGTTCCCGTGCAGCAAAACTGGGCCTGCCCACTTAAATCTCTCTATTTTTAAGAAGGGGCATGCGAAGAAGTGCTTGGGCTAGCGAGGAACATGCTACCGACATGGGCCAAGCGCTCAGTGCTCTGCAGATCCACTTTGTGCTGGAAGCAGCAGGACAGGTTACGGCGAAGGAAACCCTGGACTGGAGGCGTCTACTTTTGCTGTGCCCCTCCTGGCAGAAAAGGGGGACAAAGGACAGATCTTCAGGGGACTCCGTGTTCTTGTCACAGGCATCCTGGTGAAGTCTAAAGAAATTGCTTCTATTCCCAGAGCATTGCTCCCAATGGCCACTGGAGACCAGGGGCCCTTAAATGTTGTAGCTATTAGCACACAAGGGGAATAATTTAATATTCTCTGAGGAACTTTGGATTAATAACTAAGAAGCTCACAATGAGGCACGCTCTGTTAACACCACCTCAGGTTTAATTTACATCCTCACCCAGAGAGACAGAGAGGTCTTCTGAGATTTAGAAGCAAATACTCCCCATCCTCAGAGAAACTCACCTCTTTGCTTTTCTGTCCACCTGGGAAGAAGCATTTTCAGGGCATTAAACTCATGCAGATAGCAAACCCCTTGTGTCAAGGGGCGTTCTGGGTTACTGGTATCTCTGCACCCCCCTGCAAGCACTGAAAAATGAAGGGTGTATTCTGGGAATGAACAAGTCGGACTTGATTCAATGGTGAGGGTCCTTTGGTCATTCAGACGAAGGGGCAGGGGCTCCAATCAGCTTGCCCAAGCCAGCGGGAGCAGTGTCACGGATGAGGGAACTGCACTCCAACTGCCCCAGGTCCACAATGCCTGTGCATATCCTCACATTAAGCAGACAGATGCAAACAAGTTTGGATGGCTAGGAATCCAGCCTACATATATCTCAGCAAAACACAACATTCGACAGGCTCAAGGACTGCCTTCCACTTTCGGCTGGGATTTACGATAACGGGCACCAATGCAGAATTTCATCTGTGGAGTTGCATATGAGTGGCAAAGCACATAAACTAATGTGCACTGGCGCATGAGCACTCATGCACACTCATTAATTCACACTTGTTTTCAAAAACCATCCATTTCATTTCCTTTCTTGCATGTTTAAACCACCCAATAGCTGAAGCTCCCTGGGCAGTTTGCAAAGACTTGCTCAATCAGCCAACAGAACCTGACGGCAGGCCAAACACTCGTTGGAAGAGCATTCAACCAATTCAGGACACACCTAACAGACAAAGGGTTGATCTAACCTCAGAAGTAAGAAGTTGCCCAATATCAGCATCAGGAGGCTGTCACTGAAGTTCAAAGATTTATGAGTAACAGTCTAATGCCGAAGCGTCGATGGGGCTGCCTCTCCCAGAACAGCCGTTCGTGTGCTGTGCACGGCCAGAGGCTGATGCACTTTGAACATAAACCAGCATTTGCCCTGCTGGGTCAGCTGGAAGGCTGCTCCCACAGCGTCTGGGGGCACCGGAGAAGCAAGATCCTTGGGGGCAGGGCTAGTCTTCTGTAATCTGGATGTTTATTCAGTGAAAGGACCTAACCCCAGTGCAGAGGAGTGAGGAGCACAAGGCCAGGGACCCGAAGCAATTGGAAGGGTTGCAACCCTTACGATATAATGTATTCATAAAAATAAAAATAAGAGCAAGCCGTTCCAAGGTTTTTTTTTTTAAAGAGATAATGATGTCCACAGTGAGAGCTAAAACGCCAACGTTCCAAGAGCGCCACGATTCGGCTCAGAGCTGTTTGCAGGCCCTGGAGTTCAGCTGCAGAAGTTGGATGCCAAACAAAGGCAGTCAAACTGGAGAAGGGAAAGCAGACATCAGGGAGATGAAAGGACAAGCCACCGCTGGAAGTAACTAAAAATCTCAAGGCTGCAGCTTGCGATAGTGCTAAAATGGAGCAAGGGGAAGCTGCACCCAGGTGGGGAGAGCGAGCTGCAGCCAACTGATTCAGAAGGAAGGCCCTCCTTCATTGGTGCGATGAATGGTGCCACTTTAGAGAGAAAAGTATGCCCGGTGTGCAGAAAACTCTGACTGCTGCAAGAGGGGAAAACAAAACAGGAAGCAAAGAATGACAGCCTTCCCTCTGAGAGTTATAAGGAAACAGCTCCGTGCAACGTCCTTTGCTGACGATGCTAAACTTCAGGTCTGGAAGGCAAAACCAGCCCCTGGTGCTCCAGTCCGATTTTTTGGGGCTCCCCAGTTGACCACTGCCCCCCCAAACGCAAACACTGCGATCCAGGTCCGTCTCCTCCAGTGCTGGCTTGAAAGAGGGAATCAAGAAATAAGTCTTTCCAGTGGTGCCCCCCCCGCCGCCCATTTTGGAACACTCCCCCAGTATGATCTCTGGGAGATCCACCCTGCCCCTCTTTCAGTCCCCTTCCACTACTCCCAGGCATTTGGCAACATAGGGTCATGTTTTAACTGCTCCTGGAATTGTGTTACAGTTTGGTTTTGTATGGAAATAGGGTTTATATTGTATTTACACTGCGCTTTAAAGGTTGCAATCTTTTGTCAACATCCCAGAGAGCTTTGCTGATGGGGTGGTATGGAAAAGAAATGAAGTATTATTAGTGACTGAAGAGCTGAGAGGTTGGGAATTACAGGCAAGGGGTCTGTCTTTCCCTTCTGCTGAATGAGTTTACTCCTGGGCATGTACAGAAGGCCGTTCATTGCCCCAGAGGAACAAACTCCTTTTGGGAGAATCTTTCAGGCGCACATTCCAGCGGTGCCTGCAGCAAAGGCCAAAACGACTCAGCCGGATATGAAACATACCAACATGTCCCTCTTTTACCCCCTGCACTTCATAGGGCTACTTTGCACCAAGCCCACGTTTCTGGAACGTGCAAAGCTTGTGTTATTTCTGCTGATGCTTTAACAGTGACTCAGCTACTAAAGGTCAGTCCACGAACTCTCCTCCCTTGGCCCAGGTGTGACAGATCCATGCCCGAAAACTGGATGCAGGCAATTTAGGACCCAAGGAGGCCTCCCCCACAGAACCAAAACGGGCCAGCTCCAGAGCTGCCAAGAACGGGTCCTGGCCATCCTGCCACACAAGGGGGCCCTCAGTCTTCCCATGAACAAGTGCTCACAGCTCTCTTCTGGACCCTCCTGTGCAACTTCCAGCCGTGCCGGGCGGCATTTCGGTCATGTGTAGCTGCTGTTCGGATAGACAGACCTTGTTTTATTGTGAAATATCTTGGTTTACTTTAGTTTTCTCCTCTGGAGCGATTTTTTAGGTTCCTTAGAGACTCTAGTTTCCTGGTGTTTGGTTTCTGTGCTGAAAGTGGCTGACCTTGGCTCAGCTCAAATAATTAATCCCCTCTTCAGCCTCCACTACAGTCGATTGAGGGGAGGGGGGTGTTCCCTTTTGCTCTTAATGGCAAACTTAATTTTCTTTCTACTTTACTCTGCCTGATAAAACATTCCTGGAGCTTGTTTAGAACACCTGCAGGGTATATGAATTTTTGCCTGCTGTTTTGCGTTCTTGCTTTCTTTCTCCCAACAATAACTATTTTGGCTGTTTTGATTTGAAACACCAGGTAGTCATTATCATGCTGAAGCTTTAAAATAAATTGTGTTTTTGCTTCCCCTCACCCCCGGCCTGAATTTAGTGTATTTATCATGTATGATTACTTCACGTTATATAACTTTTCACATATTTTATCTACTTTTAATGCAGTTGAGTGTTAAGGAAGAGAACAAGGCTGGCTGGGCTGTGGCCTGTCTAATTAAGATCTTGATGGATGCATCTCAAGAATTCTGTCATTAACTATTCCATTGTTAGTATTTGTATGTGATAAACCGGGGACGGGATTCTTTGTTATATGTGTTGTTATACTTAAAATGTATTTGGTTCTTAAGTTCTTCCTTCTGCAAACTCACATTGGTTTATGTTATTCTGGCTGTGAGGTTGAACTCTTTTGCAGCAAACCAGAAATGAGATCAATTGCTTAGACATGTAAAGGTGACACCCCAGGCATGTTTAGACCAAAAAACAGCCTGCATGAGTACCTGGGACATGCTAGGAATTCTCCTAAACATATGTAGGACCATGCCTTGGGAATTAGGTTTTCCTTTCACCATAATTACCAAAATAAAAGTAGTCAAGATCTAACTTTCTAAATCATGTAATTTATACACCTCCCCAAACTCACTTTTTTTAAAAGGAACTGACACACATTTAATTTTTCCGTATCTATCGATGAACTGGGGTTTGGTTTATCCAAGCAGGACAGAATGACTTCTGCTCTCTGAAAGGCTAAGCAACTCATCGCAGCATCAGAAATGAGTTTATTAAAACCAGCAACCCCCTGCATGAAATCTGCCTGCGGGCACACTTACAGAAGCCGAGCGTTGGAAGGGACTTTGGAGGTCCTCTGGTCCGACCCCTCCTCAACCAGTACCAGGAGCGGCCTGTCCAGTCTCTCTCCTTCGAAAGGCCAGTGAGGGGGAAGACCCCAGTTCAAGACAGCCCTGCTCCACTGCCAGACCGCTCCTCCCATGCTCCAAATATTACCGCATTCTCCGAATCTGCATCCCTGCAATTCCCAGCTCTGGGTGCGAGCCCAAAAGCTTACCCACGTCTGTGCCATCTTCCACATGACGGACCGTCAGATGTTGGGCGGCAGCCCCTCCCAGGGCTCCCTCCCTCCCTCCCTTCCACCAGGCCCTTCCCAATGCGGGAGCGTATCCCCTGCCAATCCACGCAGACTGTAATGGGAAACACTGCTGCCAAAGGAAACACAATAAACGAGGGACAGCCTGTGAACCTCCGAGGCAAAGGTCTACGCGTGTATTTGCAGGCCAAGTCTGGCAGCTGCCCGCAAAGCAGTCATGGTCACCAGCACTGTATAGCCTCGTTATATTAACATCTTTGCATTAAGAGCTGAGCAGGGGCCTGTGGAGGCAGCGTGATCCAGACCCAACCCTTAATAAACAGGAGATGAAGAGCACAGCAAACTCTTTACACGCCCCGTCCTTACACTTTCAAAAGGAAACGCTGAAGGGAACGTGCACGGGAGAATCCCTCGCGAGTTCTCACCTTCCTAATTTACATCCCGTCTGTGCCTGTACAGAGATTTCCTTCAGTTGTTCTGCTCTTCTTCTTCTGCAGCACAGATCAGAGAACACACTGAAACCTCCTCCTTATTCGCTAGACCCAGATGCCTCTAAAACACTGGTGACCCCCAAAACCCTAATGACAAAAGGTCAATTTAAATCAGAGAAGATTAAAGCACCTTGAAGGAACTTTCTGACAGGGACTATTTGTTTATCTTGTGAGCTCTGTGTCACAATTTGCCATGAAAGCTTGCGAGATAACTGACCAATTAAAAAGGGAACGGTACTTTCCCTGGGGTACAGGGCTGGTCACCACCCGCCTTTGGCCTGATCCACCACATGACTTGCATTGCAACACAAGGGCCCCAGTTCCGCACTCAGTGCTCCTTCTGCATCTGGTTCTGCAACCACAGGAGCCCTGCTGGATGGAGTGAGCTTTCCTCCAGTCGGTCATCCTGTCCAGTGTCCACAGGAAACCCTCATGAGAAACCGGCCAAAGGTGAAGATTGTGAATCAGCGTCATGTTAGCTTAATCTCTTAATTCTGCCTCCTCTGGATGGGTGATTCCAGCTAATTCGTGATCACACCGTCTGCAAACTACTAGCTTGTTCAGAGATTGTGAACCTCTTTCTGGTTGATAATACAATGTAAGCGCCAAGAGAGGAACCCAGGGACAATGCCCATGGCTTGCACCCATTCCTCAGCCTCCCTCTGCGAAAACATCTCAGCCG